CATCCTCAGCCATCAGGGAAATGCAACTCAAAACAACTCTGAGATACCACCTTACACCGGCCAGAATGTCTAAAATCAAAAACACCAATCACAGTTTATGCTGGAGAGGATGTGGAGAAAGAGGAACACTCCTCCACTGCTGGTGGGAGTGCCAACTTATACAGCCACTTTGGAAATCAGTATGGCAACTCCTTAGGAAAATGGGAATCAGTCTACCACAAGATCCAGCAATCCCACTCTTAGGCATATACCCCAAAGAAGCACATTCATACAACAAAGACACCTGTTCATCTATGTTCATAGCAGCATTATTTGTAATAGCCAGAACCTGGAAGCAACCTAGATGCCCCTCAACTGAAGAATGGATACGGAAAATGTGGTACATTTACACAATGGAGTACTACTCAGCAGGAGAAAATACAATGGAATATTGAAATTCGCAGGCAAATGGATGGAACTAGAAGAAACCATTCTGACCGAGGTAACCCAGTCACAAAAAGACAAACATGGTATGCATTCACTCTTATATGGTTTTTACACATAGAGCACAGGATTACCAGCCAATAATCCACATCACCAGAGAAGCTAGGCAACAAGGAGTACTCTAAAAGAGACATACATGGTCCCTGGAGAAGGGGAAAGGGACAAGATCTCCTGAGCAAATTGGGAGCATGGGGGGAGGGGAGAGGGAGATAGGAGAATGAGAAGGGGAAAAGAGGAGGGGCCAGGAGGTCATAAGGGAGCAGGAAGGTTGTGTAGGGGAAGAACTAGGGAGAGCAAAATAAGAGATACCACCAAAGAAGGAGCCTGTATAGGTTTAAAGTGAAGTCACGCACTAGGGAAATGTCCAGAGATCTACAAGGATCACATCAACTAACCATCTAAGTAACAGTGGAGAGGCTACCTTAAATGCCCTCCCTTGATAACGAGATTGACAACTAACTTATATACCATCCTAGAGCCTTAATCCAGCAGCTGATGGAAGTAGAAGCTAAAAACTGAACTGAACTGGAATCTAGTTGCAAAGAAGGAGGAGTGATGAGCAAAGGGGGTCAAGACCACCATGGTAAAACCCACAGAAACAGCTTACCTGAACAAGGGGAAGCTCTTGGCCCCAGACTGATCACTAGGAAACCAGCATGGAACTAATTCAGACCCCATGAATGTGGGTGTCAGTGAGGAGGCCTGAGAAATCTATGGGGCCTCTTATAGTAGATCAGTACTTATCCATAGTATAGGAATGAACTTTGGGAGCCCATTTCACATAGAAGAATATTCCTTTAGCCTAGACACATGGGGGAAGGCCTAGGCCCTATCCTAAAGGATATGACAAACTCTGAAGACTCCACCCCATGGAAGGCCTCACTCGCCCTGGGGAGCAGAAATGGTATTGGATAGGTAGGGTGTTAGCTGAGGGGGGGCAGAGGAGGAGAGGGAGGGAGGGAGAATTGGGATTGACATGTAAAACAATCTTTTTCTAATTTAAATAAAAAAATTAAAAGAAAGAAAATCCCTGAAGAGACTAGATATAGGAGAAGCATATCAAAACTTAATAAGAGCTATCTGTGGAGAACCTGCAGCTAACACTATGCTAGCCACAGAAGCAGTGAGAGCACACCTCTAAACTTTGGAATAACACAAGAGTATTCACTATCTCTACTCTTATTCAATATGCTGCTAGATATCCATAGCTAGAAATCTTCGATAAAGCAAGAAGACATGAGAAAGAAACAAAAGGAATTCAAACAGGAAGGAAGATACATCATCCCCATTTGTAAATGGCATGACCTTATACTTAAAGAACCTTGTTGACTCAACTAGAGAAATCAGAGCTAACAAACTCCAGTAGAAAAAAACAATGTAAAAAAATCACTAGCATTTCTATGCACTGACAACAAACATGCACCCCACCCCCAAAATACCAGGGAAACCTTATTAAAACAAAAAGAAAATACCTAGGAATAAAACCTAACCAAACAGGAACACTTTAAGATACTAAATTTATAAAACTAGCAATATTTACCCAAATGAATTAGAATCAATTTCACATATATGTAAGGAACTGTGAAAATTGTATCTTATATATATTTCTATATAATGCATATTATATTTTACATACATATAAATATACACATTGGGTCTAAAAGAAAGCACTGAATGTCATCTTGAACTATCATGCATTGATTGAGAAGTGCCATCATTTATATTATACAAGAATAAAGCAAGCTAATGTGAGTCTATAACAATATTGTATCCCAAATAGCTAAACAAAAAGAACATTTATAAACAATCCCATTTAACGTCTAAAATCATGAAAGTTTCTGTAGGACGGTGGTAAAGCAGTTAATTCAAGGAAGATACAGAGGGAGCTCTTTGTAAGGCAGAATAAGCAAACTCCTATAGAGGGAGGGAGCTAGGACCAGCAATTCAGTGCACTCTCTTTTATCATAAAGTATTATTTTGCAATTTAATCAAACAACTTTTGGTATTACTTACTTTTTCCTTAATTTCTATATTTTTTCTCCTGAGTACAGCATCAGGTCTGAAAATAACTATATTGTAAATTTCCCCTAAGAGGAAAACCAAAAATTAGTTTTCTTGGCTCAGAACCAGGATAATGAAAGGTCTGGCAACTAGAAATATGAATTGATAATATCTGGGTTATTAAATAGACATGATATAAGTATACAGACATGTGTAGTGTTGATACAATTCTCATACAACAGAATCACAAATATGGTTCTTACCAGTCAGTATTAACAGTCAGTGAATCTTCAGCCATGCACTATGCAAATAAAAATCACAAGCCAATAGAGCTACTATGTAAGAAATGCACTCATCACAAACTTCCTATTATCAGTTGTCTTAGTTACCTTTCCTGTTACTATGATAAAATACCCGGCAAAAGCAATTTACCCCAGAAAGGGTTTATTCTGGCTCACAGATCAAGAAAGCAGTCCCCCATGGTGGGGAAGCCAAGATGGCAGGATGTTGAAGCAGCTGCTTATATTACATCCCCCCCAGTCAAGAGGCAAAGACTGATGAATGAAGGCTGCTGTTGAGCTTTTGGTTCCTTTTTATACCTTTCAAGATCTGACACAGGTAATGGTAACAATACCACCTACAAGTGGCCAGGTCTTCCCACCTCAGATAACCTGATCAAGGTGATCCTGCACATACATGCACAGACATTTCTGCCCTGGGTGATTCTAGATTCTGCCAAACTGACAGTTTACACTATCCATCATATCAGATCCTGTGTGTAAGTAAATCTTCGTCTTTATACCCCCACAGGGAATGAACATACACACCTGTGAGGGAACACAAAGTTACGAGTGTGTGCTCATGAGTTTAACACAAGCACATGAGTACATGCACACAAACAGACACACACACAAATACACAGAGCAGCTAACCTTTCTAAATGCAACCCTTTAATACAGTTCCTAATGTTTTGGTGATCCCAACCATAAAATTATTTTCATTGCTATATCATAGCTGTAACTTTGCTACTGTTTTCAATTGTAATATAAATATATGAGTTTTCTCACAGTCTTAGGAAACCCTCACGAAAGGGTCCTTTGACTTCATAGGGGTTGTGACCCACCAGTTGAGAAACACTGACATAGAGACTCCAGTAAAGGCATGGAATTTTCAACTGAGATTAAGTCCAAAATTCTGAATTCCAAGAAGAAATTATTCTCACAAGGTTTAAAGGTGAAAGATGAACTGGAAACCAGTACCAGACAGTTGCAGTAGATAGGAAAGAACATATGCTCATGGGTAAGCTTTGAATGTCTTTAAAAGCCTGTTCTGACTCTCCCCGACACAGCCACTCTTCATTGCTACAATAGTGTAGTGAGGGGGTCTATGTGCAAATACAGTCGCTGGACTCCATTACTTTGTTACTTACCACCACTGTCATACTGCATTTCCCCGGGCTCTACATCAGATTGGTCTACGAGTGGAATTTCCGAATACTGTGAAAGAGAAATGAAAGTAGAACAATTACTTTAGTGTGGTAGTCAACGAATGCCTAGAAATTTTGTTTATAGTAAATAAGAGCCAGGGGAAATAGAAGGTAAAACACAAATGAACCTTTGATTTGCAGTAGCAACATGCTTCCTGAGGAAGCTGTATCATGTCTGCACTAGCTAGATATAAAGCACTATAGTTCGCATAAAGTGTCCCTGGGGACCCATTTGTCAGAGGCTAAAGCTCAAGTCTGTGGTGCTAGTGGGAGACTATGGACAATTTTTAGGAAGGCCTAGTTGCAACGAAGTAATTCATTTGAGACATGACCTTGAAGGAGTCTATACAACACTGATTTATTCCTCTCTTTCCTTTTCACTTCTTGCCCACCTCCCAAGTTGAATGATTTGGTTCTCTACAAACTGCCTGCCATGATGTGCTGTCTTGTCACAACCCTACAGCATCAGGAAGGAAAGACAATGGAGTGACACCTGTGAAACCAGGAGCCTAGCCACATCTCTCCTCTTTATTAGCCAACTGCCTTGGGTATTTTATCGCAGTGACATAAAGTGGCCTGACATATCTAATTAGGGAAAATGCTTTAGGAAAACACAAAATATGACACATTTCAAAAGTTATAATAGCCATTCATCACTAGTGTTACCTGGGGACGATTCATTTCACCTGCTGAAATTCTCCTCTCTTCTTCTATCAAGTAAATGACCTTTTTATAGATAAGTGGTGCATTTGCACCCAGAATCTTTGCAACAATTTTACCATTCTACAAGAGAAAGGAAAGTATTAAGGGACTTTTATTTTTTTATTTTCATGTGAAGTCAATAATTAACATTTACTCTGAACTAAGTTCCCTCTCCTTGGTCCCATATTCCACCAACCATCTTTAGGATACTGTAATCAGCCATTTGAAAGTAATAGTGATGGGACAGTTCAGTCGGATACCAGCCTGACAATTCTCTTGAGCAGAGCTGTGGCTAGAATGAAGCTTTTGTTAGCTGAGAAACATGACTAATAAAAGAAGTCAGGATGGGAGTGTTTAAGTAATGAATGGTCAGCTGGAGGGCAGTTTTGTAGTTAGGGAATACTATTCTCCCATAGCGGTCCTCCATGTGGTGTGTATAGAACAGAGTACCTGAGGAATGAACACAGGGCTTAGTGGAAGCAGTATGCTGGGAGGAAAGATCCTGATGGAAAGGAGACTAAGAATTCACCAGCTGGGGCAAAGTAAGGTGTCAACATAGATAATGAAACCCCCAGGAGGACAAGAGAACTTGGTTTTGAAAGTCAGACTTTGAACCATATGACAAAATGTGATGTTATGAAAAGAATTTACTCTAAGATCTAAAGTGACAGGACTGAGGTTGGAAAAAAAAAGAAAATCAGCAAAATGTAGTGAATTCTAACAAAGGAAAGTAAAGCAACTGAAGTATGATGGGTAGGAAGTAACAGAGACCTCTACTTTCTCAAGCTGTGACAAAAATCTGAGAGAAAAAATAATCACCACATCCGCAAGCAGAATGTTGCAAAGCAGACGGTCCTTGCCTTTGTGCAATTTCTGATCCTAATTCCTTAAACTACATACAGGCTAGGTAACCTCAAAACTGTCACTCTACACAAAGACCACATTGCTTCAAAAGCTGAAAATACTATACATCAAGCACTATACAGTCAATATAATGCAAAAACATGCTATATTTTTTATTCAACTAAGTCAATAATTCTATATATATATATAATAAAACAAATGAGAAATTGGGAAAAAAGAAAACTAAGTACCCTGCATCAGAAGGTTGACCAAGTGGTATTTGCTTCAACTGACATTTCTCTTGACTACCACAGGATTCAGGACTTAAATGCATACTGGTTTTAGGAAACAATGTTTATTATATTGTTTTTTGACTATTGCAGTTGTGTGTCCCATGCAAAATATAGGTACGTCCAGACAAGACATAAAATCACCTCCACACACACATCCCCTCCCACAAAGAAAACAATGAGAACAACTCAGGAATAAACTCTCTACGATATTCCTAAACATTTGTAAACACAGAACTGGGAGCAGAAAGAGTGGTTAGATAGTTGCTTTCACACAAATCCATGAATACTTAGAACCAATTCTCTCTTGCAGCTCATCTGAGAACAGTTCCTCACTACAGACAATGCCAACTTATTTGTCTTTTTTTCTAATCAGCTCAGTATGTGATAGTCTTAACAAGCTCCCCGAAGGCAAATTACTAAATTTATTATCAGACAAGCAGAGATAAGGCAAACACTGTGCAATTACTACCACCAGCAAACAGCCCCGTGGTAATTTTCAGTGCTACCTGCTCCTTCACAAGACTCTGATAATGAGATGACGAACGCTATACTTACAAGACTAAAGAGGAATACAGGCTCACATTTGTCTCTAAATGGCTGCAGAGTCACAATGCTGTCAGCTTCAGCCTGAAGAATATTGTAAATATTTTAGACAATAATGAGAAATCAATACCCACCCTATTCTGTATGCTACATTCAAATGATATAGATATGCATAATTTTTCTGGGACTGCAACATTTTCTGGGTTTGTGATAGTAGTATTAAGGATCAAACTGCATGCATTAGCCACTTAAGCCCTGTGTTATTTGGTGCCTGCAGCCAAACTCACCTCTATGTTTCTACCTTCCTCTCTGCCTAGTCCTGCCATTACTCCTCCAATCCAGCCCAAGTGTCCTTGATCCAAATAATGTCTCTTACTCCCACCTGACAGCTTGCTTCTGGCTCTATATTGAACTTGACTGTCCCTCACCCAAGGCAGACTTTCTGTTTCAGCGCTGTACTACAGGCCGGTGTGGAGCTCTCTCGCTTGCTTTGTTAGGAAAGCAATGCTTTCCAACTGCATGCAATTCTAGCTCCAGGGGATCCAACCCCTCTGGTCTCTTGGTACTCTTGCATTCAACATGCATGCACCCACACACAGACAACCCCTTACACACAGAGAGAAAGACTCAGGCAGACACGTGCACACGCGCGCGTGTGTGTATACACACACACACACACACACACACACACACACACAGGAGAGAGAGAGGAAAGAAAGAAAGAAAGAAAGAAAGAAAGAAAGAAAGGAAGGAAGGAAGGAAGGAAGGAAGAAAGGAAGAAAGAGGGAGAGATACCTATACATACACAGATATAGACACATATGTGTACTAAATTAAAAATTATAAAGAAAAGAAGAACAAAATGCTTGTGCAGAAGGGGATGAGGGGATGGCTAGTTGACAGCTTGTGAGGTCAGGAAGCAAACTGACTCCAAGGGTGTCTTGAAGGGCAGGGAAGGCATACGCCCAAAATACGCAGTGGGTGGAAGTTTTGTGTCTGCTTGAAGACTATGCAGCTTTGAGAACTGGAGTACACTGTTCAGCAGTTTACACCTGGCTGACTCAGGTATGCATCTGTCTAAGAGAAATCTATTTTCGGTTCTCTGGTAGTCAAATGAAAGAAACAGGTGAAAGCAAAGTAAGAAAATATTTTCCTTAATTCAATATTAGTTCAACATGTATTCAATGTAAAAAATATTAATGGTATGTTTCCTATCATTTTCCATAATAAATCTTAAAAGTTATTATTTTGCAAAATTTAAGGCATATTTTAGTGATTAATATTCAATAAATAATTATTAATAATTGACCTCTAATAAAAGTAGGCTCACATAGCCAAATATTAGTTACAAACAAATAGGCAGGCAGGGAGGCAGACAGACAGAGAAAAAGAGAGAATCTATCTCTAGTTCCACCATTTGAGTCACAGGGATCAAACTCAGGTCATCAGGCCTGCCAGCAAGTGCTTTTACCCACTGAGCTATCTCAATAGTCCTCAGTTTTTAAGATTAAATGAATTAAAATTGAAAATGCATTTCTACAATTGGTCAAGATAGATCTCAAGTGTTCTGTTTATACATAAAGGCACATTGAACAATAAGATTCTAACCAATTGTTAACTGGGTATAGATAAATTGAATAATCAATATGATTGAGTTAAATGAATTTGGCTATGATATTTAATCTCATCACTTTTTATAACTAATAGGTGAAAAGAGAAATTACTTCCTTTGAAATATTTGTGCATAGATAAATATCTAGGGATCTACTCCATGACCCCCAGGACACAGGTCCCCATAATTTTAATATCCTCAGGGACATATATTGGCCATGTCATGAAGTAAAAGAAATAATATACATATGTTCACTTTTATGTTTTTCTAAGGTTTGCAGTCCTGACGAGTTATCTCAGCACCACATGAATTAGGTAGAGCTCATAAATAATTTTCAAACTAGTAGAACTAAACATATACTAAAATTCCAAGGAAAACATTGTTTAGAGTGAAGATTGACAGGTTGCTTAAGCTAAGACAACACTTGAAGTACTTGGGAGTCTTTAAGCCCTAATGTGACAGGAAACAAGTTGAATGAAAATGAAAAGCTTACAATGGCGAAATGAAGAATCTCATCTTCATTCAGTTCGTTTTTCAGTTTTCTAAATAAAGGTTGCACTGCTTTGCAAGGTCCACACCAGGCCTGGTAAACATCAATCACTAGACGATGGTGACATTAATGAAAAGACAAAGTCAAAGAATTAGAGACTGGCACATTTCCATCCCAGATGAGGAGGAAGGCAGGAAGGCAGCTTTGGAATGTAGAGTTGAATTCTGTAAGGTGTCCCCAGGTGCTTGGGGACAAACCCTAGCTACAGAGAGCAGAGTGCCCCAGTACCTGTTAGGCCTTTATTCAGCAACATCTCATCCCACAGGTTCTGACTATTGACAACTGCCTGCAAAAAGCAAAACACTGTAAGATGTAGGAAGTGTCACTGCACCAGACAAAGACTTGCTGGCAGGACAGACCCACCTGTAGCTGGACTTCACGCTTTTTGCTTGCCATTTGTCTACTTCTGCATGAAAAAGGAAAAGAAATATGAAACATGAGAGAATATAAGCACTGTTGTCTTTGTGTGCCCAAACAACATCTTTGTTCTTAATGTCCAATTTCCCTTTAAAAAATACTGGCCAGCTCAGACTGGCCTCTAGAGAAGAGGTGATGTCACAGGCAGACTAGTGCATGCAGGACATGGATTCTCCCAACAAACCAGTTCCCTCTCTCTGTGTGTGTGTGTGTGTGTGTGTGTGTGTGTGTGTGTGTGTGTATTGTGTGTGTTTTAATAATGTAAAGTCATACTGTGTGTTGTGTGTATAATATTGTAAAGCCATACCATGTGTTTTAATGTTGTAACGTTATACTGTGTGTTTTATTTATTTTTTGATATTGCAGTTGTCTCTTACACCTTCAGTAGAACATGTTAATTGGCTGTGAACATGCTCTTCAGACCTGCTTACTGCAAGGTTAGTGGGTTTTTAGAACAAAATCACTGATGTTATCTGAAGCACAACATGGATTTTCCATGACTGTTTATATCAGGGATAGATAGTAGACATTGAGTCGAAAGAAAGGAAAGCCCTTAAGACTACAGCCCAACAAAGTTGCTAAACACCATAGCAAAATGGGCCCTCACCCCTAGACTGGGACCTTTAAAGACCATTTAAATAGGCTCCTTTGCTGGGGTCTATGACCCTTGGTAGCATGAGCTCCTAAAGTTCAGTACCTGTACTGCTAGGTCAGGCCCGGGCTGAGGGTGGCAGGCTCCTGCTGTGCCTTCTTTCCCAGCAGGTCCAGCTAAAGGAGGGGATGAGGGATACCTGGTATCACCCCCTGGAAGATGAAGAGCAAAGACACCAACGTTCAGCCCTCGAGGCCTGGCTTCCCCTTCCCTCGCTGTGGTGGAGGCTCGAGGCTCCCCCCCCCCGCGGGGGGGACAGGGGGCCCGGG